CTGCGCCTGCACCCCATGGGCATCGACGGCCCCGTGGAGTCCTTCGCACCTTTCCACAACGTCAACTGCCCCAAGGGCTTCCTGTACTTCAACCGACAGGTGGGCACACCTGGCACACCTGGGCACAGCTAGGAACACGCCTGGGCACGGCTAGGAACACACCTGGGGGGGCACCTGAACTGCCCCAAGGGCTTCCTGTACTTCAACCGACAGGTGGGCACACCTGGCACACCTGGGCACGGCTAGGAACACACCTGGGCACACCTGGGGGGGCACCTGAACTGCCCCAAGGGCTTCCTGTACTTCAACCGACAGGTGGGCACACCTGGCACACCTGGGCACAGCTAGGAACACACCTGGGCACAGCTAGGAACACACCTGGGCACACCTGGCACACCTGGGGGGGGTCCGTGTCCCATTTTTGGGAACTCTGACCCAATCTTGGGACCCCTGACCCAATTGTTGGGACCCCTGACCTATTTTGGGGTCCCCTGACCCTTTTTTGGTACACCTGAACCATTTTTGGGGTAAATTTGGGGTCATTTTGGGATATTTTGGGGTAATTTTGGGGTAATGTGGGGGTTTCAGGGCGAGCTGAGGATCAGCGTGCTCCCCCGTACCTGTCCTGTGGCACACCTGAGCCATTCTGGGACATTTTGGGGTGACTCTGGGACATTTTGGGTGCCAGGGCGAGCTGAGGATCAGCGTGCTCCCCGCCTACCTGTCCTACGACGCGCCCTGGCCGGTGAGGAAGATCCCCCTGCGCTGCACCGCCCACTACGTCGCCTACCACGTGGAGTCCAAGGTGGGCGGGGCCGGGGCACACCTGGGCACACCTGGGCACACCTGGGTATGGCCAGGACACACCTGGGTATGGCCAGGGCACACCTGGGCACACCTGGGAACAGCCACAACTCACCTGGGCACACCTGGGTATGGTCAGGACACACCTGGGTATGGCCAGGACACACCTGGGTATGGCCAGGGCACACCTGGGCACACCTGGGCATGGCCAGGACACACCTGGGTATGGCCAGGGCACACCTGGGCACACCTGGGCACACCTGGGCATGGTCAGGACACACCTGGGTATGGCCAGGGCACACCTGGGCACACCTGGGAACAGCCACAACACACCTGGGCACACCTGGGTATGCTTAGGACACACCTGGGCACAGCCACAACACACCTGGGCACAGCCACAACACATCTGGGCACACCTGGGTATGGTTAGGACACACCTGGGCACGGCCAGAACATACCTGGGCACAGCCACAACACATCTGGGCACACCTGGGTATGCTTAGGACACACCTGGGCACGGCCAGAACATACCTGGGCACACCTGGGCATGGTCAGGACACACCTGGGCGCAGCCAGAACATACCTGGGCACACCTGGACATACCCAGAACACACCTGGGCACACCCAGAACACACCTGGGCATGTCCAGGAGACACCTGGGCAGACCCAGGACATGCCCAGAACACACCTGGGCACACCTGGTGTACACAGTGGCTACAAGTGGCTGGCGGGGGGGGTCCCGGTGAAATGGGCGGGGTCTGAGGGGTCTTGGGGGGGTCCCGGGGGGTCTCTGAGGTGTCCCCCCCCTCCCCCCAGGTGTACGCGGTGGCCACCAGCTCCCCCCACCCCTGCACGCGCATCCCCCGCATGACGGGCGAGGAGAAGGAGTTCGAGAGCATCGAGAGAGGTGGGCACACCTGGGGGCACCTGGGCACACCTGGGATACACCTGGGCACAGCTGGGGGCACCTAGGATATACCTGGGATATACCTGGGATACACCTGGGCACACCTGGGCGCACCTGGGGGCACCTGGGATAGACCTGGGGGCACCTGGGATACACCTGGGATATACCTGGGATATACCTGGGCACAGCTGGGGGCACCTGGGATATACCTGGGCACACCTGGGATAGACCTGGGATACACCTGGGACACACCTGGGGGCACCTGGGATATACCTGGGATACACCTGGGATATACCTGGGATATACCTGGGCACAGCTGGGGGCACCTGGGATACACCTGGGCACACCTGGGGGCACCTGGGACACACCTGGGGGCACCTGGGATACATCTGGGGGCACCTGGGCACACCTGGGATACACCTGGGCACAGCTGGGGGCACCTGGGATATACCTGGGATATACCTGGGCACAGCTGGGGGCACCTGGGCACACCTGGGATACACCTGGAGGCACCTGGGATACACCTGGGATACACCTGGGCACACCTGGGCACACCTGGGGGTACCTGGGACACCCCTGGGCATGTCCCCAAATCCCTCTGTATCCCCAGTGTCCCCAGTCCCAGGGTCCCCAGTCCATGTCCCCGTTCTCCCTGATGTGTCCCCAGTGTCCCCAGTTCCCAATCCCAGTGTCCCCAATCCCAGTGTCCCAAATATTCCCAGTCCCAGTGTCCCCAGTGTCCCCAATCCCAGTGTCCCCAGTATCCCCAATGTCCCCAATCCCAGTCGCGGTGTCCCCAATGTCCCCAGTGTCCCCAGTCCCCAATCCCAGTGTCCCCAGTATCCCCAGTCCTGGTGTCCCCAGTGTCCCCAGTCCTCAATCCTGGTGTCCCCAGTCCCCAGTCCCAGTGTCCCCAGTATCCCCAATGTCCCCAATCCCAGTCCCGGTGTCCCCAATGTCCCCAGTGTCCCCAGTCCTCAATCCTGGTGTCCCCAGTGTCCCCAATCCCAGTGTCCCCAGTCCCCAGTCCCAGTGTCCCCAGTGTCCCCAGTGTCCCCAATCCCAGTCACGGTGTCCCCAATGTCCCCAGTCCCCAATCCCAGTGTCCCCAGTATCCCC